TGGTGCTGGCCCTACATAGCCGGTGCGGGCCTTAACGCCAATGCAGGATTGAAACCTAATGACGGACTCAACGCTGGTGCCGGTCTCAAGGTTGGTGCTGGTCTCAATGCTGGTGCCGGACTCAACGCTGGTCCCTGCCTCAACGTTAATGCCGGCCTCAGTGCTGGTGCCGGTCTCAACGCTGGTGCTAGTTTGAATACTGGTGCCGGCACAAGTGTGAAGAAGGGCACCAACACGGACAGCTACTCGAAGGGAACGAGTGCCATCGCTTCGTTAGCCCCAGAGAAGACAGCTAACCAAGCTTCTCAGATGGCTACTCAGACGTCCACGAAGCCCAGCACTTACCGCCACCTGCGCGCGTAAACTAGGAATGATGGTCATCCTTTCCAAGTCAGAAGAACGCCATCCATTACACTCGTCCGATGTGTCGAGACATTTACCGCTCCGTGCGATACCAGTCCAATGAATGCTTTGTAGTAGTCGTCATTTACGACTTTGAATGCTTTGTGAGTTCATGACGCCTTTTGTACGATCATTGTTCTTGTCACTAAATACCAGGTTTTGTAGTAGTCGTCATTTACGATTTTAAATGCTATGTGAGTTCATTACACCTTTATTGCTCCTGTCATTTGAGTGATTGCTTCCGTACCCGACATTAACCCCTCTAAGACAGCCTTCTGACAGGAGCTTATATATTCCATTATTATTGGGGCAAAGCCCTATAATGAAACGAATTAGTAAGACAACTACTCTTTTTACAGGAGTATTTACGAAGTATTAGAAAAGGGTTAGGGTAGACATACCGCCTAGTGACCATTTTTGGCGAAAAATACTTCGGCACCCCTCTTGTCCAGGTTTTATCACTCAGGTATTGTCCAGGTATACCGGCAGGTATTGTCCAGGTAGAGTTTTAACGGTTTAAATTACTCTCATTTTCTTCTTTTGATTCCTAGCCACCAGTTAGGGAGACACGTGGCAGCCCCCCCCCCACGCCCCGAGGATGGCACGCACGAACAAGACTGCCCAGATCAAGGCGAATATGGCAGAGCATGAGCGTGTGGCCGAGGAAGCTCGTCAGGCTAACCTCGCTCTCTTGCGTGCGGTGCGTACGCACTCAGAGAGAGCACACGCCAGAGAAAGTATGGAGACATCTCGCCCTAGTCCAACTGAAGTAGCAGAGGACAGCAATGCTCAAGAGCGAGTGGAGGAGGCAACAGAAGACGTCGCAGATGAAGGAGGAGATGGCGAGGAAGGGCAGGGAGGTGTGGACACGTCGAGTGAAGCAAAGAAGACTACGGGCGATGAAGAGGACGATTCGGTGGAAGATGAAGAGGATGCAGAGGAGGAAAAGGTCGCTTCGGGCGAAGGGGAAGAGGGTGAAGTGGAAGAAGATGAAGGAAGTGTGGAGACGGAACCAACGAGAAAGCGTCGTCAAGGAAAGAAAAGAACCGTCTCCGATGTCGAAGAAGAAGAGCTGGTTCAGGTCCCTGTATTTAAGGCGCATCATGATTCGTGGGCCTCGCTGGAGCAGTCTCTCAAGGAATACATGGAGGCGACGCGCCAAAAAATCGTGGTGAAAGAGGTGATCAATGTAGCCCGCAGGAATGCTGATCTTCGGCGCCAAGTGAGGTACCAAGGGCTTCCTGACTCAGAGTTGCCTCTCGTCCCTGCAGAGATGGAACCTTATCAGCGCAAGTTTATCTGTACGCATGGGTGGTCCGAACGTGACAGATCAACGGGAAAGCGGACGTCACACAAGCTGAGTACTACCGATTGTCCGTTTCAGATGCTGGCTCAAGCTACCAAGCGTAGTGACGGTCAATGGGGCGTTGTGATGAAAGCGTGAAGTGTACGCCCATAATCATCGTGTCTCCGAAGACATTTACTGGTCTTATCCAGGGATTCGCCAGGTTCCGGCGGACTCACCTTTGATGCCAGGTATTGAGCTGCTGGTTGAATCCGAAGCCGGGACAACAGGCGTGTACAACTACATTCGAGAGAACTCAAAGCACCGAGTCTCCATGGATGATGTACACAATCTACTTCGCCGGCTGCGTAAGCAAGGTAAATGTTTGGTTTGATTACATGTCTTGTCTTCTTGTTCCCCTCTAACTTGATGCATTCGCAGGTGTGGAGTTGTCTGATAACGATGCCGTGGCTGAGATGATTATGGACTTTAACAGAGAGTCATCGGCAAATGTTTCTTCGGTGCACGAAAGTGCACGTGGAGATACCGGTGTGCTTTCCTTCACTAGTGGGCATATGCGTGCGATGTTGGACAACTTCCCCGAGGTAATTCAAATGGACTGTACGCACAAAACCAATCCGTAAGTTGCATGGTAGCAATTGGACAGGTTTTCCCCAGGTATGACCAGGTTTTGACCAGACTTTGTGTATGGCTAGGTACAACTACCAGCTTTTTACGATGGTTGGTATGGACCAGTTTGGCCAAGGCCAGCCTGTCCAGTATTCGTTAATCGAAACGAACGGCAACTGGCATATGGCCAAGTGCTTGGATCATTTCAAGCGTGCGAACGAGCACTGGCGGCTCGTCCGTATTGTGATCGTCGACAAGGACATGCGCAAAGTCGAGGTGGTTCGCAAGAAGCTTCCCGAAGCTCGGGTGCTGTATTGCCACTTTCACGTGATCAAGTGGTTGCATGAGACGATCAGAAAATCTAAGTCATACGGTGCTTACGACGAGGATGTTTTAGCGCAGATGAAACACGCCATCACCATCATGACTTACTCCAGGACAGAGGAAGACTACCATATGCACCGTGAAGAGTTTAAGAGCCTCGCTTGCCGAGATGATCGCACCGATCTGTGGGAGTATTTTGACAAAAACTGGAACGACTGCTGCGAGATGTGGGTGATGGCGTATCGCGTTGATCTGCCTCACTTCGGAAATCACACCAACAACCGCGTGGAGAGCCTATTTGGTAAGCTCAAACGGCATCTCAAAGGCCACTTTACAATGAGAGCTAGTTTGAAGGTGCTTTTGGACTACCAGCGACGCAAAGAGGAAGACTATCGGTCCAAGGTCGAGATGTCTGGCACCTTACGGGACGTGTCCTACTCAGAAGAAATGAATGTAGCGCTGGGAATGACAACACGTTGGGTGGCGGCAGCGATCAATGCTCAATACGATGTTGCTACGGATGATGCTGTTGCTAACAACTACACGTTTACCGACAATGGCACTACTGTCACTGTCAGCGGTGGTAAACGTGAGTATCTTATCGAGAAAGAGGGTTACTTGTGCGACTGTGAGTTTGCTCAGACCATGAAGCTTCCCTGCAGACACGCCATGATGTACCGAAAGCGCTGTGGCAACCCATTCATTATCCCGTTCTCGACAATTGCGCCAAGGTATGTTGACTTTGCGTCCAGGTATTGGCCATGTTTTCATCAGGTATTAACCAGGTATGTGTTTTGCAGGTGGTTTGGTCAAAGCCGGCTCTCGCAACAGGAGTTGACAGAGGTGGCGGCACCGTTTGTGGCTAAGATATACAAAGCCCATTCACAATCTGCTGGTGGAAGGTTGAGTGAAGCGGAGAAATACAGACGTGCTCAGCAGGCACTTAGTCGCATCAGTGGTGAGCTTGCGAGGTTCGAAGACGATGCCTTCGCTAGTGCGATGTCGCAGCTGGATCAATGGTGGTACAACATGAGGAATGGACAACCCACGGCAGAGCATTTTGCCCCCAATCGAGACGGTGACAACAGACATGATGATGACAACTCGGATGGAGGAGCAGGTGAAAGTGGAGCAGGGGTGGATTCTGAACAACAGCAAGATACTGAGGCTAGCGATACGAATGCGGCTACCAAGGATGATTCCGACGACGTACCGCCCACTCAGGTGGCTGGTCCTGCGACTCAAGCAGCAGAGATGTCTACGACCGCAGCCCAACCACCAAAAATCAAGCTGAATGGTAAGGTCAGAAGGGCCGGGCGACCTCATTTGAATCGTTCGGCGATGAAAGTGAAGGCGGCGTTAGCACTAAAAGAGTACAATAACGGGATGAAACTACGCGCTCTTTTAAGAGATAACGACGTCTGCGATGTGGTGTCTACTCTATGGATGATCACGCCTGGAGTTCGCGAAGTTGGGTCTTTCCTTACTACCTTTCCAGTCAACAAGAATGGTGAGGGAAGGTCAATTCAGTGGCACGTCGACGGAGATTACGTGCCAGATCGAGCGCGATTCCGGCTAGTCGAATCGCTTGTTGATGATGCGTTGGATAAGTTGAGGGGCGGATTGGCGCTAGATGAAGAAATTGAGTTGGACAGTGACGGTGAACGAATGGGCAGCATTGAGAGTTACGTGGTGTCAATTGAAAAAGCTGGTCAGTTCACCAGAGAGCAACTGGAAGCTATGAAATCCTTGTGGGGGCTACAAGATACTTGTCGCAATGCTGTTCTTTGCTGTACCTGGTTGAATAGCACTGTTAAACCCGCGGTCAGTGACTCCGCTTCAGCAAGTATTATAATGGGAAAGATACTGGAGTGTTGGCCGTATACACCGCTGGTTGGGCTCGGATTCGACCTGACGTACAACAATCTCTTTTGCTTTCGAGATTCCGCTTGGCTAAACGATAATGCCATGCGTGCTTTTGCGGTTTGTCTCGCACGGTACAAGAACAATTGTACAGTCGTCATTCCGCCCCCCAAAAAAGCCAAAGATGCCAAGAATGGAACCCAACCAAAGGCCACCAAAAGTCGTATCTCTACAAGCACGCTCGACAAAGTTGGTGAAAGTGTTGCCTCGCACCAATTCGTGCTTCTTCCGATCAATTTTGGTGGCACGCATTGGGGATGCCTCGTGGTTGACCGAGACACCAAGGTTGTCAAGATGTACGACAGCATGGGCGGTAAGAGAAACAAGAAACGGTTGCAGAAGATGGCTGAAGAAATCCGTACTGGGCCTCTACGTGACGATTCCTACAAAGCTTTGGAAGTAACCGAGCCGGTGCAAACGGACAGTGACAGTTGCGGTGTGTTTGTGTGCCGGTTTTTCTGACTTGCGTGAGCAGCGATCCCCCAGCG